CCTTGGGTGCCTCTCCCGCCCGCCCCGCTGTTGTTTTCCTTGGGGGGGCCAGAAAGCCAGAGCCGGGGGGGGAGAGAGCGAGTGTGTGTCTCTGACTGAGCCCAGCCCGGGGAACCCCGGCCCGGCAGGATCGCTCCACTGGGCGGGAACTTGCAGCAGGGAGAACCGAGGGCTCCACCTGAAAAGACACGTGACACAAGCAGCACATGGATAAAGTACAGACCACCCCCCTGCCCCCAGAAGAGTAACCCGAATACACGAGCATCCCCCAAAGCAATGGGCAAAGCTGGTAAAAAATCAGTGGCTAATGGGGGCAGCCCATGACCCTAATCATGTGGTACTTGCCGAGTAGTTGCTGTGGAGTGGGGAAACTGAGGCACAGACCTGCGCAAACGGTCTCTTCCTTTTTCAGATTAAGCTCCTTTAGCGAGGTCTCTCTCTCATAGAGTATTTGGTAACGTCCTGTAACTTTTAAGTTAAGAATCGCGCTTAGAATAACTAGGACCGTGCAATAAGGCGTTAAAGAGTTCTGCCTTAAACGTAAAGATTTTAGAGCGTGAAAGGGCTTTTGGTGGGGATCGTTAGTGAGATAAGGGAAGCAGAGATGGCTGGAATAAAAACCCCTTGGCTGCTCGCTTGAGACAGGAGAAAACCAACAGGTTAGAGATGGATAATGAAGAAGAGGAAATGCCCTTGGGAAAGGGGATGCTCTCAGGGAACCAACTCCAGGAAACAGCCCCAGGACCTTGACACTCGCCCGTGGCACCATGCAGAGGCTGAGTCCCCCAGATGGACCTGATCCTGGCTAGCCATCAGGAAGGGTTCATGTCTTGTTGGGAGTGGTGAGCATTGGGTGTATGGCTTGTACATTCTGTTTTGATAATTGTTAATAGGTGGAGATTGAGTGGGGTATTGCGGTGTGGGGCTCTTTCGCTGGTGGGAGACCCCGTAAACCCGCAAAAGATTAAGCTCTGAGTCCACAGGGAAAGGGTGTTTGCTCGGAGCTCACTGTAACCAGGGAAAATCAAAACTAAATGAACCCCAGTATGCCTCTCTGTTTGCCTTTTACAGGTACAGGTTCTCGGTCTTGTTATGAGGGTCTGTCACCTGAGGAAGCAGCTCCTGTGACCCACCCTCCCTCACAAGTGTGACGTAGAAAAGAGGAGGAGAGACAAAAATTATGTTGAAACAGGTAAGCAGTGTATGAAGGGTTGCTTACAGGAAAGGGGTAAGGGGAAAGCCACAAGTAAACACACAAAACTCAGCAAACAGTGGACTGCAACAAAGGAGCTTGAAGCTCAGACCTAATATACCCCTCCCTTGGCAACAAGAATATAACAAATCTCCAGTATAGCCTATTGCTAGTCAGATGTCATGTATGGGCAGATCAGATGGTAGTGAGAAGTGGGTCCAGGACCTTCTACCCTCGGCCAAACGCTGGCCTTTGGGGAGGAACACTGGGTCTCGGCTGCTGGAACTGAAGTTGCTGACTGGTGGACCAAAGGACCCTGGATGGCAGGTAAGTCGATAGTGTCACAGGATCCTTTACAGCTCTTGATCCGGAGACCCGCACAAAAGCCTAGCCCCCCATGGCTGCCTCCTGGACGGACAGCGCCGTGATGATGTGGCACAGTTCCTTATAAGGAGTGAGTGGCGGGAAGGTGCTGAGGTGATGGCAGTTACACGTCAGTTCCAACTGGTTTGAACCAACCCTTATGCCACAGCTTTGGTGCCTTAATTTTCCCGCCTTTGGGGACAAAATGGAAATTCGATTCCATATTGAAGCCCATATGGATGAGGGGAAACAATATAAAAACCTTATCCTAAACATTTTAAATCGTTTATATAAAATCACCAACACCACGGAGGAGTAGATCCTGGAACCCACAGAGTAGTAGAGCCCAGAGCCCACAGAGTTTAGCAGGTAGAAATCCTGAATGGAAAAAATGGGAAACCCTGGCAGAAATGGTTTCATTATTCACAGCCCAAAGAGTGGAAGGGTAAACCACCTGTCCGACAAGGAATAGTATAACTGTCTTCTCCATCCTGCCAGCCATCCTCCTTGGCTAGCAAGGAGGAACGGCTTGGGGCCGTTAGAAAATATGCGTTGGGTGGGCTTGTCAGTGCCTACCACGATGTTGAGGCAGGAAAAGGCCAGAGATGTCCTCAATTTATTATGGCCACCCCCACATAGGTCACTGCTTCATGTTCACCCTGTAATATTGGCCCCAGATTCTCCCAGTATATATGGGGGGAGTGTGGGAGTTTATTCTCTCTTCTGTGCCCCCTCACAGGTCCCAAACACAAGCCATGACATCCCACTGTTGCACCAGCACCCTGCTGTTCATAAGTGTCTGGAGTCTGATGCGGTTCAGGTTCTATGCTGTACCTGTGATCCCTCAGAACCTCTGGAGGTGCTTGCCAGCTGGAGCCCAGGAAGTAAAATTGCTGTGCCACATGCATGGATTCAATGGGAATGGGAGCAACCCCCTGGCCCTGCAGCATCGCTACCAGTTCTATGCTGTCGGCAACTCCTCGGGTTGCCCCTGGGAAAGCGTTGCCAATTGCATGCAGAGTGCCACCGGGGAGTCACTCAAGTTTTGTTATGAAACTAAGACCACACCAGACTCCGTCCCATTCTTCTGTAAGCTGTTGTGGTCTTGTGCCTGGGGCAGGGGATATGGGATGCAGGAGGGGGTACGGGGTGTTGCCTCTGGGAGGGGGGTTAGGGTGCAGCCTCCTGCTGGACAGCACTTACCTCCGGCGGCTCCTGGTCAGTGGCGGGCGCAGCGAGGCTAAGGCAGGCTCCCTGCCTACCCCGGCCCTACACTGCTCCCGGAAGGGGGTATGTGGCTCCGCACGCTGCCCCTGTCTGCAAGCACCGCCCCCGCAGCTCTCCCGGCCAATGGGAGCTGCAGGGGTGGTGCTTGCAGGCAAGAGCAGTGCGGGGAAAGACCCCTGGGGCCATGCTGGCCTCTTCCGGGAGCGGCGTAGGGCTGGGGTAGGCAGGGAGTCTGCCTTAGCAGCAGTCACACTGCACCGCCGGAGATCACGATCGACTGGGAGATCCTCTAGGATTGACAAGTCGATCGTGAGCGACCGGTTGGTGACCACTGCCTTAAAGCAACCCAGCCACTCAGACACCCAAATCAAATATGAGGAGGATTACGGAAAAATCTTATTCATCAGATAAAAACGTTCTACCAATCCCAAAGGATCGGACACATTACCTCCGAGGTTAATGAATATTCCAGATTTTACCCAAATACACTCTCTTCTTTTGGCTGTAAGCATGTATTGGTTAAAAGATCAGTCTACATACAGACAGGAGTACAGTTCTTGAGATTAGATCCATAGTGGAGATGATTAACTTTGTAGTTACAAAGAGTTCTGTCAGAAATAGTCCAGAGGTTATAGTCCAATGTTCATATTCAAGGTGATTCCAGATTAGGACTGGAGATCTCAGTCTTGGGTTTAAGCTTCCCCTGTATGAAGCATCAAGCAGATCTGAGATAAAAAGGATTGGGACCCCAGGCGTCTTTATTCAGTTTCAAGCCTTCTCATGACAGCTCGGAGTCTTTCGGCGAACAATAGGCAATTATGGGGACTTCTGAAGTAGAGCCATTTCCTAAGCTTCGCCGGTAATTACCACACAGATTAACACAAGGCAGTGTTGCCCGTTTTCCATCATTCTCAGGTGATTCGCTGCACATTTCAAAGAGAGATGAACCCAGTGATGTTACTATGTTTACAGTTCAGCTAAATGTTAATATGTCCTTTTGATCTCTGAATCAATAGCAACAGTGATAGACAGGAACGGTCTTGTTTACACGGTTAGCATCAAACAAGAGATGAGTACAGTACACACATACAATTAGTATCACCTCTAATTTCTAACAATATAGGTTTGCATTTCAAAGTTCTAGCCTATCTACCATGAAATGGCCTTAATTACTATTTACATACCTTTCTAACATCTCTCTAATGGGTGACTCTGGGTCAATTATCCTGCCGGATGCTTAACCCTCTCTGGCCATACATGACACTTTGTATAAGATTTGTTGCAATTATAGAACAGTGGTAGCAAC